GCATATTTAGACAGAAGATAAATAGTAATTCCTCCCATATTATTATGCTAATAATTCTTTACTTTAAATATTAACCATAAGCAATGTGCCTTTAATATCATCACTACATAAAGGTGCTCACTAGACATTAGCACGCCGGCGCCGATTAGGCTTGGTGCCGGCCTGAATGTTTCTGAATTGCTTACATAATGCAATAAAAAATGCAATTAGATACAAAGGACATTATTTTGAAAGGATATAGTGATTTTAAAAGTTTTGGGGCAAACTTTATGTTAGGTCAGGAATTTCTACAATATAACTTAGGGTCACAAACACAACGGATAATCTCGCTCACAATGGTCCTTTGCTTACTCTTTAGCAGAGCTAGGACTAGCATTGCAGGATCATTTCAATGTGCAACTGTAGCCATTGTCAGATGGAGCACTTAGTTACACAAAGATGAAAGACACATACTTCATTTATCGGAAAGGAAAAGAAAATGATCGTGCAGTACAGTGTTTGTGTCAACAACGCTATACAAACTGACAAATGCCCAATCATTAGAGAATTAAGCATTTGTATCAATGATTATGTAAAACAAAGGCATGACAGGACGGGAATAAGCATGTGGGACACCAGGACATTATGATATGCTGATATAGGTACTGTCCTGTGATGCTACTGATCCAGTGAAGCATCCTACAGAAGCCAGAAACTCAATGCAAACTTTCCAAAACATTTTCATGCAGTTATTATTCAGAAGAATTTGTATACCAATATAAAGACTTTTTTCATACAGTTATTGCTCACAAATATATATCTTGGCATTGTTCCAAAAGGAATTTCACTATATTGTTGATTTTATGATGAAATTTTGGATTATTAATGATATATCTTCCTGCATACTCAAAATTGTTGATAGTTGATCTAATGCTGTGATGTACTTGTATGGCATGAGATGGAACTATTGTTCTGGTTATCCTATTTTGCCGAAAACACAGTTACCCAAAGAAAAGACTTTCTCTTGTACAACAGGGACAAGTAAACAAGCATTATAACAGACACAGAACCTATTTATCTGTCATGGAAAAAGTGATCATAAGCAAATCACTTTGTGTAACCTAGGCATTTTTCAATCCAGTGTGTTTCACATATTGCATAAAGAGTCTTTATAAACCTCAACACTTTCAAAGCATCCTGGACTTACAGTAGGGGTCTACCCCTAGAAATTGCATTCTGCAATTTGATTTTTGCTTCTTGACATGAATTTTTGCAAGAAGCTGCAGTGTAGGCTTATTTTCCAACCCGGTATCTTTCACAAATGAAGCTATATTTTCAAGGGATGGTGATGTATGGCACATGTGAACATAGAGAACCCACAGGTAACAATGCCATGTAGTGCTCAACAGCAATTTACCATAAATGTCTGCACAGCAGTTGTGAGAGATTGTCTGCTAGGCCCACACCTTCTCCCAACATGGTTCAATGGGAGAATATATCAAATATTTTTGGAAAACATGTTACTTGAAGACATTATGGCAAGCATTCATTGTAACACATGGTTTGAGCCCAATGGGGCACCTGCACATTTCAATCAAATTATGTGGTATAATTTAAAAGTGATTTATGGACACAGAGAGGCCATGGTGTCCTATTTATGTGGCCTCTACGATTCTTGGATTTCAACTCCTTTGATTTCTTTCAGTGGAGTTATATGAAAAACCTTGCAAACGAAGCTACCGATGAAGACCTGACAGGAAAATTACTGAAGCAGCTGAACGATCTATGACAGACCTGGCATGTTTGAAAATACACAACGATCTGATGTTGTGTATTTTGATGTTGCAAAAGATGCACTGTTCCAGATGGCAAGTTCTTGCCATATTTACTTAAAAGCACTAAAAAGTTTTGTTGGTACACAAGAGTGATAATGCACACTATTTGTCATTGTATTGATAACTAAAGACATGGATTACTCTTGTTTGGTCATGACTGTAAACTTCTACTCCAACAAATCTCTGTTAAATTTAGTATCTTTTTTATTATGCATTTGGTATTTTTTCCTATTATTTCTACTGACCAACAGCCACCTCTAGCAGTCACCCACTGCATTTAAGTCATATTACATTGTAAAAAATGCTTGTTTTTGTATGCCTGACCAACTCTACGAGTTTACTGTGGACTTTTCACACCCTCACCCGACTCTTCATGTAAATGTATTCTTTTACATATTTTAATTTACAGAAATATTGACAGTTTTTTTATTGTTTTTACAATACTATGAGAGAGTCAGGAAATCTTTTTTCCTAAAATAAAAATCTCGTCTAATTCAATTCTTAATGAACACCTTAAATTAAGAAGAATTTCTTACTTTTTATTATTTAAAATTTTGTTTATGAAAAAATTCTTTTTGGCTTAAGTAGACTAATATTTCTCTAATAACTGAGTATTGTTAATTGATAAAAGATTGGTTTGTTCCCCTTACAAGTCAATTAATCTGTGATCAATGACAATAGCTTCAGTACTTTGGATTTTGAATTTAATATCTGGAATCTTTATGTTTAAGGAATTTTTCTATATAGATTTTAATTAATTTTTACAACAGAGATCTAGATAATTTTGGATACTGACTTGGAAAGCTACCTAACATACTTACTAAAGTTTTTCCAATAATTCATAGTTTTTATTAAATTTCTTTTCTTTGGAGATAATATATAAATACCTTTCCTAATAATAAATTATTGATTTATTACTTAGCAGCTTTAGCGCAAGTTTTTGGCTTTCTAAATTTCTCATCATTATTTTTACCTACCATATTTGACAGCATATAAGACGCACTTTTTCCCCTAAATTTGGTCTCAAAAAAGTTACCTGCGTCTTATACGTGAAGGACACAGTCTTATACATGAAGGTAATTGCATTCAATAATTGTTTACTTGGCTTTTACGAAACATGAGAACTAAAAGAAACCACTGTATCGAAACTTTTCTTCCTTGTGTGTGGCCGTCTAAATAAGGGTGTGTCTTATATGCCGTCAAATACGGTACAGTCAAAAGTCGTTAATCTGGACTCGTCGGGACTTCGGCGATTCCGGATTAGAGACCATCAGTTTAAATCTGGTAAGATGGCATGCAGAAACTATAAAATTAAAAATACGAAACTGTAATTTATGAAATAAAGAACAATTATGATCTAAAGAGTATCAAAGTTTACAAAAAAAAAAAAAAAAAAAAAAAAAAGCTTAATATTTATTTGTTTACTTTATTAAACATTTCTTTCATTGTAAGTTGTTTAAGTTGCTTCGTTTATGTGATAATACTTTCTCTTTAATTCTATAAACAGACATAATTTCTTCTTCACTTACAAAGTTCCGCTGTTCAAGTCCTATAATTGCTGTGTCGAGAACACCGCCTAATTTGTCAATCGAAATTTTTTCGTTTTCAATAACCTCTGTGTCACTATCGGAAGCGAATTATAATGACAAGGAATTTGATTTAAATCATATCAAAGACGGAGTACATCGAGATGAAATACTACATTTAGTAAGGAATTATAAGCCAAATAAAATAAAAACATCTGCCCTGAAGATAAGGATAGTGCTGACAGATCAACTTCCAATTCATTGCGCACCGTGGCGTTCCCCCCCCCACCCGCAGAGCAGCGCGAAATTGATAAACAGATTTCGGAATGGTTAGAGAAACAAGGATATGCCTTTATCCATTTTTTGCAGCAATTCCACTTTTTGTTTCATGGACTTCGAAACATACTTTCGCTTTGTAGATCCTTTACATATTAGTAAATATATATCGGAAATTCTATTTGACATAATCGAAAGTTCAAGCTTACTTTTATAAAATTGCTCTAACAGTCTGCAAAAAATAATAAGCCGGATCCAATTCGAAGATTAAGGAACAATGCAATCTGCAACATTAACTGAATTAGATAATTTTAGCTTAGCTTATACCGTCCGTTATACATTAAATGCGCATGCGTAAACGTATTATGCGCATGCGCAAACGCATATTCGCAGCCGTAAAGGTCTTACGCGCATGCGTCAAAGAAATGCATGTTTGTAGCTTTGAGGTCCGGATTATGGGTGTCCGAATTAACGACTTTTGACTGTATATATATTGCATGTATGTGTATGATATTTCAGAAAGGAAATTGGAAAAGCACTCCATAAAAGACTAAAAATACAACCCCAGAATTATAACAACAGGTTTGCCAATCTCTATGCTTTACCTAAATTTCATAAGTCTCCAATAAAATTCAGGTTCATAGCTAATAGTACTAAAAGTTATCTCAAAGAAATAGATTATCTCTTTGCACAAAAACTTCGTATGATACGTGACCTAATTAATAACTATGATTTTGAGGGTCTGCATTGCAACTAGATGATCTCTAGTAACGAACTAGTTCTTAAAACTATGAATTCTCTTAAAATAGACCATATCCAATGCTACGACTTTGAAAACCTCTATACTTCTCTACCACTTGAAGAAATTTTTACAAGTTTACTAGCTCTTCCAGATTTATTTCCGCAAATTACTACCATTCTCAGCAACGGAAAATGGCAACTATTCCTCTCCAGAGTGCTCTTCAATAATTTTATTCAATTTGACAACAGCATCTATAAACAAGTACAGGGAATCCCAATGGGCGGTAATTTTTCAAGCTCTGTCTGTGAATTATTCCTTTTTACAAAAGAATTGACCTATGTCCGTTCACTCAGTACAGAAGAAAGTATGGAGCAACAGCTCCTGGTAACTTTTAGGCGAGCTTACTACAATTTCTATCTATCTATCTATATATATATATATATAAATACACTATCATATTTTATATACTACAACACTGATGAATTATCAGTATTTATCCTTAAATTAAAAATATCCAGTATGAAAATTTACAGAATATTAAATTATATATATTGAAACTTAATTACATAAAATGCATCCACTCCCTCTAAAAATAAATAGGAAATTAAATATAAAAATACAACTAAAAAGAAAAAGGCTTACTTTATTACAATGACGACCTATACCCATAAGAAAATTATCAGGTTTAATGTCTCTATGAATGAAATTTTTATTGTGAACATACTCAATTCTTCCTATCATCTGAAATAAAAAGAAAAAGTTAAGAAAAAGAAAGATAGAAAGAAAAAGTAGAACAAATTTAGTAAAAAGGCATTCAAGAACTAATATGTTACAATACCTGATCTGCTAGCATCAAAACAGTTTTCATTGTGAAACGTCTTGAGCAAAAGTTAAAGAGGTCTTCCAAGCTAGGTCCTAATAAATCCATCACAAGAACATTATAATCTCTTTCTTGGCCATACCATCTGAAACAAAAGATATAATTAACATCAAACATGCATTCTAAAAAATGCTAAAATAGCAGTTTTTAAAACTACAACATTAAGTAATACTGATGCCTGAAGAAATTTTTTAAATGAAATGCAAACATTAACAATTCTTGTATATTATATATTTCCAATAATTAACATTAAAGAACACAGTAATACTATATATGTAAAACTAACAAGAATTCTAGTTCTAAAATCAGTTTAAAATACCATCATACAAAACATAATCAAGAAATTGCAATATAACTGTTATAAGCATAAAACTGTTATAGCTATATAAATAAGTTCTAATGCAACACATAGTGTTGTAAAACAAAATTAAATATAAATACTAATTGATGAAACACTGATTGAATTTGCACAAAAAATTCGACGAGTATTTACAAATGTTTACAGTAGATTAAGACATTACATATCAAATAAAATTTAATAAGATCAGGAAATGGAATTAGCACAACTAAATTTCAAATTTTACTTATTACTGGGAAACATTTTCTTTAATAAAGGCTAAAAATTACAAACACAGGAGATTCTGTGATCTACCACGAAATAACTGAGAGAGTTTGCAGCTATTTATTATGAATAAACCACTTTATGAGGAAACACTTTCTATGCAATTTAGCAACATTTTAAGTGATGTAAAAGTGAACTCAGAAATCACTTTACTTCACCCAGTGCCTAAGCTGCCTATGTATATACAGCACATAGTAATGAAAAAAATAAAGTTATCCACACTGACGACATAACTAAAAGTAGTTACTTCATGAACTGTTAATACCACATACTATTTTGAGTGAGAGATTTAAAAATTTTAAGAACTGAGTTCATAGCCCACAGATCCTGAAATACATTTTCGCTAACTTTAACATTACAAGCGTCTTAATTTCAAAAGGGGAAAACAAAAATATAAAAAAAAAATCTGATGTGTACACCACGACTTCCTTGTACGGAATAGTAAATTATACACATTTTTTCTCGCATTTTATTTAAACTTATTAGATTGAATTAAACCTACTTCGCCGACAGCGCATAAACCACAATAGAATAAATGCATTCTTTAAAATTCACTTTGTTTGCCATAGTGACACTCTGGCGCTAGGTTTACTTAACAGTATTATATTTCATTCATATTATAACTCAGAATGCACAAAATGTATATCATTTAAAGAATTATCTAATCGTTGCCACATGTTCTATTCAAATACTATAATAAAGCTAGAACTATGTATAAAAGAAATTAAGCAAATAAAACAAGAAAGAAACAGTTTTTCACAGAAGATTGAGTATTTCTCATTTAATTAATTCAGTTCTTACTTCGCGAGAAGGCAAAAATACATAAAAACTCAAAATATCTATATTAGAAATTACAAAGTAAATCTCAAACGCTTATTTTCTCGAAAAAATTCCAGAAAGAATTAAGCATGATTTAATTGGCAATAATAAATGAATGCGTTATTTTTGTTGTTGCGAAGCTAAGTTTCTCTAGATCGGCAACAAATCCACTAGTCTCCTGTTTCAAATGTAAACATCAATGGCCGCCATTAAAAACGGGCTTAGTGGCAATTAAACAACTTTAAAATTGCTGATAATTCTAAAAATATTGCACACAGATTTACTAAAGGCCTAAAATCCTTAACCGGAAGATAAAAACAATATAATTCAATCATTTTTAAAGAAAAAAAATGTACAATTTACAAACATATAAGAGTAAAGAAACTGAGATCACTGAGCCGGGTAATAGAATGGATATATATATATAAATAATTTAAATTTAAACTAATTTAAATTCTTAACAAATACATATAAAGTAAAAAAGCAAATTTAAATTCTAAAAAAAGGAAAAAAGCCAAAATAATTTAAAATAATTTTAAAATATGCAAACATGTAAAAGATTTAATTCTCGAACTAATCTACAATGTCATTTAAATTCAGAAGCATAAGCGAATCAAGTGCAAAATCTATCCATGAAAATAAATCTACTAATTTAATAAATTAAAATTAAATTAAACAATTTTTTTTAAAAATTGCATATGTGAATGATCGTAGAGTAGGCAGGAGACAGACTTATCAAGGGGAAGTTGCCTCCAAACCTAACTCTCCAATCATTCAATTTATCATTCACATATGCAATTTTTTAAAAAAAATTGTTTAATTTAATTTTAATTTATTAAATTAGTAGATTTATTTTCATGGATAGATTTTGCACTTGATTTGCTTATTCTTCTGAATTTAAATGACATTGTAGATTAGTTCGAGAATTAAATCTTTTACATGTTTGCACATTTTTAAATTATTTTAAATTATTCTGGCTTTTTTCCTTTTTTTAGAATTTAAATTTGCTTTTTCACTTTTTTACTTTATACGTATTTGTTAAGAATTTAAATTAGTTTAAATTTAAATTTCATTCCTTGCAGCAATGGCGCAAAGAATATTTAATTAAATATGTATTTAAATTTAATTTTTTTAATTAAACTCAATTTATTCTTATGAAACAATATATATATAAATATATTTATATACGTTTCGTGCGGCCGATTGCAACCAAAATACGAAGTGCACATCTACATGTTATAGCAGTCCTATATACAAAATTTCAACGTTCCGAGGCTACTCGTTTTTGAGTTATGCGAGATACGTACCTACATACGTTCGTACAGACGCCACGAAAAATTCTCTTCAGAATTAATTTTAAAGCAGTTTTATAATTTTTTGAAGGAAAAGAGTATTTTATTCTGTCCTTACGTACAGATATCACGCAAAAACATTAAATTGCATTCGATAGCGGTCAAAATGGATATTTTCGTTGAAATATGCTGCTTGAAACTCTTCGAGATTACAATATTTCCTTTTTACTTCGTACAAGGAAGTAAAAAGTGTTACCCGATTAACAGAAGAGTGAAAAGAAGAAAGCAAAGAGGCATACTTTAAATGCAAAAACAAATTTAATGATATTCATGAAGAAATTTTCAGCGAAATTTAAAAACAAAGAAAAACTGTTCCTAGTTCATAGCACGAAAGGAGGCCACTGAGCGAAAATTTATTAAATTATATGAGCTTATCGAACAGAAAAGCGAAATACGAACACACAAGGAAAGTTATTGAAAGAACAATAGGTGGTAAGGGCGTTGCGACCTATTAACGCATCAGCTAGAAAAGGATAACGTAGAAACCAGAAAAAAAAGCTAAAGAAATGGACTTGATTTCCACGCATCGATGCATGCCAGAGGCCCTGCCTAACTAGAAGTTCCACAACGCCGACGCCTGAGTTACGTAAACACCAAGCATATGTCAGTCGCCCGCACTGTATTCGCAAAACAAATGGAGATTACCCTTCTCCCTCCCACAAACAGTTTTGGCCTTTTAGTCTGATCTAAGCCGATCTTATACACAGAACAACGTTGATGTGAAAATGATTTTTTTTTATTTTTTTAGTCCAAAGGGATTTCAGTCCCGAAGGACTATTGCTTTCGTTTTGGCATTTTGCGTCGGACTCATAAACGTCGATTCACTTTTCAATGGTACATAGAGCCATCGAATTTTGAATGACGAAATCCTACTGCGAATATGGGCATCTGAAATCCCAAATTTGGAATTTGTTTTATTATAGATTTTATATTTTGTAAAACTTTAACGAATTTTTGATTTACAAACTCAATGCTTTAAAAGCGAGAAATGGCAACGTTATATATATATATATATATATATATATATATAAACTTTTATCTCCAGCTCGCGAGACTGTGTATATCGGAAATTCTAAAGATATGCTTAATTTAACATTATTTTGCGATATTGCTCTTGAACTGAATTTTATGGTTTAAGTGCAAAGAACATGATATTTAATAAATAAAGGTAACACTCAAAACGTTAAAAAAACGCCCCTTTGGACGTAATTTAAAATCTGAAAAATTTCAGAATTTTTTTTTTTTTATTTATTTATTTTTAAAGCAGCAAGTAAATGGATAAGATCGTGAAAATACTTTATGAAACATACATGCCAGCGTGACCTGAAACACATATGGAATTTTTCTCTCCAATTAAGCATTTTAAATTCCAGTACAATTCAAAGCATATTAAAGATGTCGTCGAAGAAGGATGAAAACAAAATATTTTTCTTCTAGTTTTTCTCGGCCAAAACGTCGTTAGATTAATTTCAACTCCCTTCCCCCAGAAAACTCTATTATTATTTTATTTTTTTCTGATATGATTTATAGTGTTCGGTACTTAAAAAAAAAAAAAAAAAAAAAAAAAATTGATACATTACAGAAGCATATGAATTGACTACTTTTATTACAACAATACAGTAAACAAGACTTCGAATTTTCTTCTCATTTAACAGACATAGAAGAAATTTTGAATTACATTGGATATATTTTGTTAAGTACAATAACTTAGGACATAATTTAGAATAAATATAACACATGGATAATCGCCATCCCAATTTTCATCGACAGCACATAAGGGAATGGAATCCTAGAACCTGGAACTTTTTTTTAAAATATATATATATATATATGTTATCATTAATCTCTCTACAATACTTTCGGCTCAACAGAATTTAAGTGCATCATCAAGCACGGACACGCTTGTCAAAAATTCACGTCCAGTACGGGCAACCTAAGAGAATCACTACACACAGGTGGCGACTTACTAGAATTTCATACATATTCATTTACATTTATTCAGCATGTGCCTAACAATACTGAATGCAACAGAAGACTTGCGTACGCCATTAAAAAAAATCTCAAGTCCAAAGTTTAATACATGTTTAATATAAATCGAAATAAAAAGAAAATACGTCATATTTGATGTTAGGGAAAGCTAGGCATTTGACGTAATTTGTTTTATCTTTGTTCAAGGTTTCTATATTCGAAGTATGGTTCATTATAAATATTTACAAGGGCTTCACAGAAAGAGAATCTATGATCTTGACTGATTTGGTAGCATACTGCGCCAACAACTATCAGCAAAATGGA